CATCCCACTTGGCGGGGGGTGGAGTGAGCAAACAGCTGTGTGGTGTTTAGCTGCCTGACGGGTTAAACCACAACAACAGGTCAAGTGATATTCCCTGTAACACTGGAAGCTGGTAAAGAAGCATGGGGACACCCCAAACAGAGAAAGAGTGGCTGACTGTTAAACTACAGAAAAATGCCAGTGGATGGGAGTTGAATGGACCAGAAATTATAAAAAAAGTAAAAGAAGAGGGGAAAGATTAGGATATAGTTCTGCTAAGAAAGACAAGACAAAGAAGAGAAGAGAAGAGAAGAGAAGAGAAGAGAAGAGAAGAGAAGAGAAGAGAAGAGAAGAGAAGAGAAGAGAAGAGAAGAGAAGAGAAGAGAAGAGAGGAAAAGACAAGAGAAAAGGAAGAAGATAGGGGTGTAATGTTGCTGAACAGTGGAAGAGGAGCTGGACAGCCTGGTCAAGTGTGTTGTAGTAGGACACCGGTTCCAGGCCAAGGATGCTGGAGAACAGCTGTGGGCCCTGTGTCTCATAAGGGAATTCAAGCAAGGCTAAGACCAGTGTTGAGGTCACGCATGGTTGTAATCCTTTTCAGGACTGCAGTTTGGCCAAGAAAAAAAGGGAAGGCATTTGAAGTTGAAAATAGTGGTATAATTGAATATGGAAATGGTAATAACCAAAGGATGGGCTGAGGTGTCAACCCTAACCAGCGGTGTAGGTGGGGAAAGGTGAGCTGGAGACAAATGCAAATGAGCCCTAGCAAAGCTGGGGGGATGGAGCCGGGGGAGTGCAACAGTGCAGTGAGAGCTGGGTTGAAAAGAGAGTTCTGTTACCTGCTTATAAAACCAAAGGGACAGAGGTCTGAGAACATACTACAAAGGTGAGTGATGTGTCAGTGTGGGAGTGCCTAAAGAGGAAAGAAGACAGAGTGGGTAGGGGGAAGGCCCCTTCAGGGCAAAAGGGTGTCCATAGGGACCTTGGCATCTGTGCAATGGTTCTCAACTGGCACATCCAACAGCCTTTCCAGGAGGCTGAACTCACCAACACTTTTGCTTCAATGCTTGGTTGGCTCTACTTGCTGTTGTTGCTCTGGAGCAATGAAGAATTATTCAAGAAGATTTTGCTGTACTAATTAGTCGTTATTTTTACAGTGGTTGTGTTACTAATTGTTGATAATTCATAAACTGCAGGGGCTGTAAGTCTGCAAGCATATGGTGGGGTAAAGACTTTTGTACTGGTGATTTAAAAGTGTGGACCTTTAATGAAGTGGTAAGTACATTTTGCTTAATGGTACTGCTATGATAGTAAGGTAATTGATGATCACTGATTTACATAAGAACATAGGATTTAAGAAAGTACCATTGACTTTGTCTTTAATTCTTTGATTAATAGCTGATTCCTGTGGAGATTGCCTAGGAGGTTAGAATGATACTGGAAATAATAATGGAGACTTTAAAATGTTAAAACAAAAATTTCTTCACTGTTTTTAAGCTTTTGTTATTCCCAGATGATTAGTTTATTTATGATTTCTTTGCTTCCAGCCCTGTGTCTGTTCCCCTGCTCACTGAAATCAGGGATTTTCTTACTGACCTCTTTGCAACCAGGCTTGTCTCCATATGTTTTACCAGAAAAGTTTGTCATGAGCTACTGTACTAATTGATTTAGGTTGCAGATCTATTAGCAGTCCTTCCTGACAGTCAATCAAATAATGAGAGATTTATTTAAATTGGAAATCATCAGCTATGAGATATTCACTTAAGTCAGGAAATGAGCAGAGGTATGGTCGTGGTATCACTAATATGCAACATCCACATGGTCAGATTCTTCTGGGAGTTAGGAAGATGTGGAATTAGTTCCTTCAGGCCAAGGAGAGATCTGTAGGATGTTTGTGAATGCCAGGCACTCATGTCACTATTTTTGCTGCCTCCTCTAGCTGTGTTTTGAAAGAGAAAACTGAGACAGTCACTTGTACCCAGAGCAATTTGGGCATGTAAATCCGAGGGACTGATTCAGCTTGTAAAACAAAACTCAGAACTCCAAGTCCAGGAAGGAGGATTTCAGACATACTTTTTGCTGTATCTGATTAGAAGGTTTATTAATCCTTCCTATGCTCAGATTCATTATTAGTCTTAATTTGAGGGTCCCATCTGTTTCCATGCATTGTATAAGCAGTGAAGGTGAGCAACCTGGGGACTTCAAGGTTATACATGGCAATTTTTCAGATATAGCAGCACCTTTTCTGCATCCCTGTGTGGTTCTGACCCTATCATGTCTGCGCAGAGCAGGACAGGGTCAAGTTTACCTACATCGGGTCTCTCAGATTTTCTAATCCTCATGAAGCTTTCCTACTGTTAGCAAAGGCAGGAACACCCTGAAACTGGGAGGGGTGAAGAGAGAGAGAGACACCCTGATTTTTAGGTCCTTCTATTCAGGTATGTTCTATTCATGACACTGACACAGAAGCAGCAGGGAGAGAAACCCTGAGTCACAGTTGTGTGGATTTTTTGTTGGTGGTGGTTTAAAATACCCTGGTTAAGACCAGTGGTTACCCTATAAAGGAATCTCTGTAAAGGGATCGATAGACTTGCCTGCATTGATCTATGTCTTAGACACAGTTATTCCTTCTTGGACAAAACAGCGTAAGTAAATCTGGATGTCCTCTGAAGTGGTAGAAAAATGGAAGGCATTCATTTACAATGCCAGTTCCCTAGTAGCATTAATAAATGGATAATAAAATAAGTCCCTGTGTCCTAACTGTCTTTTGTGAAGGATCCCAGGCTCTTGATCAATACATTCTGAGACAGTTGGAGCTGTGAATTGTAAAAAAAAGAAGTTTTTGCACTGATACTGACCCAAGTCTGTTGTGTATTCTTACAGATTCATCTAATAAGACAAGTTTAAAACTTTTTGGTTTTTTAAAACAAAGTGAATTGTGATAAAAAATACACTTAAGAGTTTCCTATATAATACCATTGGAGTGTGAATGTGCTGTTTTTCTTTTTTGGTAGGGGAAAAAGGGGCTGGGAGCTTTCAGGGAACTGTTTCTCTAACCTTACTCATAACTCATGGTTGATGATGGGTCCTAACTTTCATTTCTGTTCTGATACGCTTACTGGCATTAAGTTACATTCTGTTATGGCAAGAGCTCAAGTGGGAAGTGAAGCTTTTGTGTGAGAAAAGGAGAGGTTTACACTTATATTGGGGGCAATTTTTGCTTTGGAAAACAGTGGCAAGCTTTGTAGTTTAATCTTTTGGGGTACTGCCTGTTACCACCTTCTGATGTATGTTGTTGGGCTGAGAAGAATTGATGCTCAGTGGTGCATGAAAGTCCAACGTGTCAGTGGTAGCTATACATAATACCACTGTCTCACATGCAGGCAAGGCTGTTAATACTTAGTACGGTATTGTATTCTCTAAGGAAAAAAGTTGAATACTGGTAACTTCATCCATTTTGAATGTTTATACACATTCCTTTGAAAAATACTAAATTTAAGAATAAGGTAATACCTGGACAAAAGGCTCAACCTAACAAGCACCGTAGAGCAAAACGCTGCAGAAATAAGGCTCCAGGGTTCCTGTGTGTCAGGGAACAGTCCTGGGAATCTGCCTACAATTAGGGTTTTGTTCAAATTACATGGCTTGCCGGGAGATCGCTTTAACTCACCCACACCAGGCACCTGGGGTAACTGGTACCAGGAAAGCAGAGAATTTGCCCTTTTGGAGATTGCTAACTTGTAAATAATCCTCCATACGCATGAGGGGAACAATATTTTAAGGGTTCAAAGACCTTTCCTTAAGTACATGCATCTGTGGGAGGACATAGGTATTGTTCAGTTGCTTAACAACCTTCTGTAGCTAATGGTCTGAAGTGAAACAAATCAGTAGTGTACAGGAGAAGTGTATTGAAATGTATCAAGGCACAAAAAGTATTAACTCCTAGGAAATATGGCAACAAAGCAGCCACAGCCAACGTCTGCTGGCTTTCTTGCAGTAGCTTTAAATTATTATGTGCTCTCATGTCTTCTGAAAATGTCATGGCTCACATGGTAGCAATGTTTTTTCCTGCAAACTAAAGGTTATGGTTCTCGAAAACAATTTTAAATCTGCAATCCAAACAAGTTCTCTAGTCTGAAAAGTCACTTTTTTTCTAACCAAACCCATTCAAATATTATTATTGAATATATGTCACAAGACCTTTAATACAAGTTCTGTATTACATTCAAATGAATAAGGCAATTTTTGGCCAGAAAAAATAGCTCTCTGTAGTCTTAAGCAAAATACAAGTCCTTCTGTGTAATCAAGGTACTCTGCTGGGGAAAGAGGGGAAAGGAAGTGGTGTTTCTTGTTTCCTTATGTAAAACGCTACAATTTTTAACTTGGAGGCAAATAGAACAAAATCAGGAGTTTGGTAAAACATGTTCATAGAAGATACACTTCAAAACAACTAAATGAAGGCTGCTAGTTATATGCCTGCCTGCCTTTGAGTCTTTCATGGTTCTGTTTGATCTTTCATTCTTGCATGTCAAATGCTTTCTTGTTAAGAACTAGAACAGAAAAAAATATCTGTATTACTCTTCTTCAGCAGGCTTCAACTACAGCAGTACATATTGGGCCCATGAGACTGACACAAGATCCAATTCAGGTAAGATGCTCTTTCAGTTTCTTGATACAGTCAATTCAGTGTTAATGGGTGAAGAAATTAAGGTTCAACCCCTATAGTTAGGTATAATATTTTCATTTTACTTGCACAAGGACTGTGAGATGGGTAATTGGTGTTTTGGTTTATCTGATTGCTTGAGAAGAGATCTGCAAGTAAATTAACTTGGTAAACGAGGTGCTTAGATTTCCATTAACATCAGATCATTCCTTTTATATGTCCTGTCAAAAGGAGTGTATGTGCATTAGCAGGGGAAAGAGCTGCCTCCCTGGATGTTAAAAACTGCTCAGTTCTGATATACCAAAGCAGAGAGCTCCATTACAAAGTTTAGGTGCCTGGCGAGTTTTGCTGGGTTTTGCACAACAGGACAGAGAATTGTGCTTTTACAGGTCACCAATCCAAGAAATCACAACACTTCCAACAAGACAGGTTGAACTTTGGCTTAAGGAGCAGCAGCTCTCAGCCGTACTTGCTTCTGTTTCTGTACATTTTGTTCCTCTGCCAGTAAACAGATGCCAAGCATCACTTTTTTAGCTTATAGTGGGTGTTAGAGCTCTTAGATGGTAGGAAATTAAATGACCTTAGTCTTTAACATTGCTCTAGTGATACCGCATTCATTTGAATTAACTTTTTGGGTCATTTAACTCTGTAAAATACAGAGACATTTAGTCACCAGTCACCTTTTCTGTTTTGGGTTTGGTTTTTTTTTCCCCATATCTGTCTATGAGAGGAAAAACCTACATATGGAAGAAATGTTATTCTCAAGGAAAATAAATAATGTGTATATGCATCATAAAGCTTTACATTTTTATTTCTGTATTAAACATGCAGTCTTAATGATGGCTTGATCTGATGAAACTATTTGTTTATATTATAATAACACTGTGGAACAGTGGCTTTAGCAGTAGACCAGTCTTTGGTTCTGCAAGGAATTTCAACATAAAAGTGTGGAACTGTTCACAGAAAAATGTTCTTTAGACTGTGATCATCTTCAGAAAGATGGTCAAGCAGATATTTAACAAATACAAATACTCTCAGAACTTATGTCAGGATTTTACTTTGTAGAAACTGGATTTGCCAAAATACCATAGTACCAGTGTTAGCTGTTATAAGTGAAGATTTTTCATATAAGAAGGACAAGTGGGGGGGTTTCTTGTTGTTTTTAAAAGTGTTTGACATTCTTCTTGGTATCTTGTCAGGTGTGGATGTTATTTTGTCCGTACATTACACAAGTGAGAATCTATGGTGCTACCATGGAAGACCTTAAGTAAAGCACAAAGCAGACCTTAAGTAAAACCATTAACAGAAGAGTTTTCCATAAAGACATTGCCATACACTAACTTATTTACAGTAAAGGGAAAACACTTTATGTAAACCCATCTCCTTTGTTTGTGGAACAAGCCACATTACCTCAGCTAATTTGGCAAGTATTGCACACATCCATGCATTTAAAAAAATGTGTGTTAATCTTTTATTCCACCTTGACAATGGAGTTACGTGTTTCTCTGTGCAGTGCAAACAGCTACTGAATATTACATTTTAAATGTCTATTTGTGGGTGCTTAATCATGTTCACAATTGTCTGATAAGTCAATTTAGTTTGTTAAAACAATTGCCACCAGGGCTTTTCTTAGCGATGTTCTGGTGCATGTTTTACGCTGTTATGGGACACCTGTGCCAACCTCGAAATGGCCCATATTTTTTGTCTGAGAGGTCACTTTACTTGTGACTGTGACCTGCCATAAACCATTTAATAGATTCCTCACTGGACTTTATGACCATCTGTGTTGGAGGACAAATCTGGTTTGGTTTGTACTAGATCGTGATGCAGGTGCTGCTGGCCTTAAGGGGCAAGGGGAAGAGTCCAAAGCAAACCTACGAGCTCCAACCCTCCAAACGCCCTCCCAACATGCAGCTTGCACATCTGCCCCGATTTTGTACCAAGGCTTGCAAATAGGCATGGTTTTGTTCTGAGACCTTAGAAATGACCATAATAAAAGTACATATAAATGCGCTTTCTCCAGAGGACACAGGAGAAAGGTGGTTTTTATAAACGTTTAATGAACATAAAAAAACTGTCTTATCCTTTTGCAGAAGTGTTCACCAGGGCTGATAAAGGTTTGGATGTGTCCCCCATTCAGATACTGCATTTTCTCACCTCTTAGGACATTCATTGGCCATCAACTCTTTCACAGCATTGACATCAAATTCCATTTCTGTTCTGATGACGGTGATCTTCCCTGCTGAGCAGCAAATGAAGCATGATGATGCACAGCATTTTACTGTTCCCCCATGACAATTTTCGGTGTAACAAGAGCTCCTCCCTAACTTAATTTAGGGCCACTATGTGTTTTCCACCTTAAAACTCTCTTGCTGGGATACAATAACTTAAAAATAATTAGGTAACTTTATTTTTACTTCTTAAGTTGCTGTTTGTAATTGTCTCAGTTTCGTTGCGGTACTCTGTGTGTCTGTACTCAGCTGGTGTCTCTTGTTTTATTCTGAGCTCTTTAAAGCAGATCTCTGCCCATTTTCTGTATTTGTATGATAAACTGGGAGCAAGACATGCAACAGTTGTGCAAAGCAAATACTTAGAAAGATGGTAAAAATTCCAATACATCACCGAGAAGTGTAAAGGTCTCCACAGGAGAAGTCCGTGGTGCTCCTAAACCAGGGCAGCACTGAGTAAAATGATCTTTTTACAGTAACACTGACAAATTATACACCAAAAAATAGCTATGGGGGTTTTTTTTGCCAGGAAACACAGATTGAATTCAAGCTTTTCCTTGACAGTGTTGTTTATATGGATTGGTATATTTTTATCTTGACTTTGAGAGTGTATCTTGCAATATACTTCTAGTTACATTGGGTTTTGATGGTTTATAGTAAGCGTCATACAAAAGTTAGTGAGAAAGCATGGTAGTAATACTCTAAAAAGCCTTTTAAAGTTAATATTCTCAGAAGGATTCACACACTGATAATTCACTACCAGTGGGAGATCAGGTGGTTTAATTAAGCTCCATTATTTTACAGCTGGTAAACGATTGCATTTTGCAATTCCTTATTTCCAAACTGGGAATGCTGAGAGAAGGAACATATCAAAAAAAAATGTACCCCCAAAAAAACTCTTTTCTGAACCATATTGTACCCATCAAACTAGGAACAAAGTAAAACCAATAGCAGTTGGAACTGAATAGAAGATTTTATCAGAGTAGGTAGGGACTTTACCCGAGTATCCACAGACAAAGTCTGCAGCTCAACCATGTCATTGCTTTCCAACACTTCGATGGCCGGAAAAAAATCGGGGATTAAGTAGAGTGACAATAGTTGCCTTGGATGTTAAGTGTCAGTAACCCAAATCTGCTTATTGTTAATTGCAATTAAAATTACTCTTTCTAGTAAATTGAAACTTAGAATCATAGAATCATTAAGGTTGGAAGAGACCTCCAAGATCATCGAGTCCAACTGTCAACCCAACACCACCATGCCCACTAAACCATCTCCCTAAGCACCTCATCTACCCGTTTTTTAAATACTATTTCTTAATATTTATGGAAATTCCAAGCATATAATTTTCTTCCACTGTTTAATGAAACCTTGACTGGTTGTCCTGCCACAGAACATTAATTGATTTGTTCATTGTTTAGAATTCAACAATCCAGGCAGCTCAAGATAAGAGAAAAGATAAGATTGCCTTTTCTAGCTTCTAGACTGATGCTGTTGAATTTCATGTGGTGACACCACAGCTGCATGAAGCAACACAGATGAAAAGTTATTGACCTTTCTTATGGGCATTTTGGGCAAAATTTTGCATATTTTGCTCAGACAGGTTGTTTCAGTGAAGTCAGGGGATGACTTTTATTTGTGAAGTGAACAGGATTTTGCTTTTATTCTCTGGCTGCTGCCTTTCTGTGCAATTTAAATAGCTGTGGATAAACTTTTGACTTTTTCAGGCCTTTCTTTTTCACAGCATATTTGCACTAAATTAACCTTTTTCTTCATCTACCACACAGGGTGGCATGGTTAGTGATCAGTTGCTATGGTAAATATGTGCAAATTATGAAGGGGATTTTCTACATGACTTGTGTCCCTAGCTGTGTAATTTGTATGCTGATAATGTATGTATTATAGGGCAAAGATGAAAAATTTGTTCTCTCTG